CATTCCTGGGTTGTCCTTACCCAGAAAAAAGATGGAGGCAACTTAACACAAGATTTTTTAAAGGTACACTAAAATGAAAATCTCTAAGAGAAAGGTCTTCCTTAGGACATGAAGGGGTAATATACGGGATATAACAGAATCATATGTATGTTGTCTGTGACCTCTGTGGACATTTGCCTGAATTCCCACCTGTGAGTGAATGGAATGGGGCTAAGGTCATTGGGGGATGTTTGTTTTTGTGGGACAAACAACATCCCCTGGGACTCGATCCCAGGTCTCCAGGATCATGCCCTGGGCTGAAGGCGGCACTAAACCGCTGAGCCACCCGGGCTGCCCCAAAATCTGTTATATTAAAGACACCTTTATTATTTCTTCTGGTTTCCTAGAAAATGACCTAATTTGGTCACACACAATTCTTAGGTTTCTTTGCATTGACATCGTATCCTTTACAGAAGTTTGATGAGGGTGAAGATTAGCTTTTTCCCCACCACACTGCTCTCAGTTTATATTGAAATCAAGCCTCACACATTTATTTTTGAAAACACTCATTTGCAGGCAGACCCCACACGTTTTATGCAGCCCACTTGTGGAGGTCCCCCAAAGCCCCACCTTTCTGTGCTTTCAGGTGAACTACCATCAGGCATGAATGATTCCTTTGAAGCAGATATGATAACATTCCAGGAGCGAGATCCTCGGTCCTATTACCAGGCATCGGGCAATTATAAAAGCAAAGGCTGGACAGAGGACCGGCAGGGGATCAAGCTCCAAGCCCCATCATCCCTGGGGGTTTAAGTTCCAGCCACCATGAGACTCTACATACTGTTCCTGCAGGGCGGAAGAATTTCTGAACTATTTTGACTGACCTACATATCTTGAAGATCGTTAAATTCACCAATTTGAGCCTACGTCCAACATCTACAGTACTGGTCAATAAGCCACCACGTTCACCAATAAAAAACCCACTGTTGATATTCAGTGTATTAAACTAGCACAGTAGTGATTTGTTGGTCTAGAACAGTTAACATCAGAGCTTGGAGTCATCCCTTCCGAAATGTGGACTTCCTGATTTGAGCAACAGTGGGTGTGCCATCCCTGGACTGTGCACTCCTGATCAGCACCTGGGTAGAACAGAACCTGTGTAACACACGTCCTTCTTAGTGAACACTGAAGCATCCCTAGGTAAATAAACAGGCATGACAATAGCAAACCGAGCTTCACACTACTGTATTTTCCTATGTCCCCTATTCCCCATGAGTTCTCAAAATTGCTAAATTAGAATGTCTTGTACCACATTTTTGAGAGTTTGAAGCTGAAGGACAATGAAGAGTGTTAATGTTGGGGTTGCAGGATTATGAGTTGGAGAAATGAGCTAACGGTCCAGGCAAAGCCTGACCCTGTGGTTCATTTTGGGGAACAAGTCTAGTCCTCCTGGGGACGGTCTAAATGTTGTATCTTATCTGTTTGTTTAGATCAGGCTACAGGGAAATTCTCATGCAACCCAAACCACACGTGTGCTGTCTAGATGAAGCCTTTCCTGTGATCCATGTACCCGAGAATCTTAATTACCTTGTGGCCCTGGGAAAAGAACAGAGCACTCCATGGTCCTGTGTAGATACTTTATGGCATTCTGATCAATGTTCCACTCCTCATGATAGTAAATCCCTTTGTGGTCTGAAAAGATGGAGCCCCCAGAAAAGGTCTTTGTTTCATTAATTCTTATTATTTACTTTATTTCACCAATTCTAAGATCCACATCTCTATCCTCTTTGGGTGAAATCTTCCATTGCACGAACTATGATAATTGTCATAGTTTTATTAATCTCCATTGGATTTCTGCCTTTCCTGAATCACTGCATATCGCTATGTACCTGCTGCAGATTTGCTAGGTCATGTCCTGGCACGCAGATCCATTATGGTCAGTTGACCAGACAGAGAGATTTCCCGAATTTTCCTCAATAGCAGCAGGTTCACAAATCTTTTTCGCAGGTGGAGTCACTTCTGCAGTTGGCTAAGCTCTACCATTTTCTTCACATTTTTACCCATCTCCCTTCGAAACATCTGCACTAGCTCCAAATAGAAGAAGATTCCTCTACTGCAGTGCTCAGGGACATTTGACTGTAAGATCCAAATTCCACATCAAGATTGCTCCTGCCTAGGCTCCCATAGTGCCTCCCATCTTGGTTTTCAGCTTTTGCCACATAACAAACACTTACTGAGGGACTTTTCCAGGAGTGGATATGTTATGTCATTGCAGCCAAATTTAAGACATTAAAATGATGTAGTCTCAGAAGTTTTTCCACATAGGATTTAGTCGCATAATATTGTCCTGGCTGAAGACCTTGCTATTTCCTTTCCCAACCCTTTATTAAGAACTTTGGTTATGGATGAAGCACAACATAAAACAAGTTTACCTAACAGAGCCTGCACCACATAATCATAGATTACAGCTGGTGATAAAAGAAAAATAAGCACTTTACATATGATGACTCCAGAAAGAATTTAAATTACAAACCTAACCTGAAACCTCTTGGCTTTTATTAGACTATAGGATTGATAATATCCATCTGGAATATATAAATTACTATGTTTAGAGTCAGCACTTGACTCGTAATCAAATCCTCATGCTATTTAATATGAGATGTTATCACTTTTAATAATTGGTAGGTAATATTTTCATATAAATACATTATACTATTATACCTGTTTCAAAGAGGCATCTGAAAATTTAAAATCATGCCATAAATCCTGTTAACTAAAGTAAAAAATATTTTAGCTTATGAGACACTCAACTTTTAAGAAATGGGAGACTTTAAACGGTGTGTTCCTTAGTTGTGGTTTAGAAAGGAGGAACAAATTCCTTGAAGGCCTGGTTGGTATTTGTCTCATGTCCCACATGAGCTGTGTGCTTTTCCTGCCTTATGGACTACTCCCAACCACCCTGAGAAAAGTTCATTATTCAGTTTTTACTGGTGACAAAAAAGAGGCTCAGAGATGTTAAATAACTTGTCCAGTGTTCTAAAGCAACTAAATTTCAGGGGAGTTTTTCTTTTCTTTCTTCCTTTTTTTTTTTTTTTTTAATGTTTACTCCAGAGCTCATGAGCTTTCCACTAAAACCATCAATTAATTCATCATGTGATACAAAGAGTCTGGATTCAGTATGACAGATGTTTTGACAGTGCCCAACCCGGTTGTCATAGGCAAGAATATGATCTGAAATGAACAATTTTGTAAGTCAGAACACCTGAGAGGTAAATGTAGGTAACTGACAACAAGAGGAGCGTTATGTAGTTAATAGTTGCAAAAACAGTCATGCTCATAACTTGGTTTCCCAGACACTGAAATCTGAAACTCCGTGATATGCTATAGCAAGACTTCAAACAAAGAGGTTTTGTTCAGTTCATGTTTTTGTGGGATGGTGTAACCACGCAGTCCATATCAGTCAACAAATGCTGCACAGAGCTGACCAATGACTCATGAAGTCTGCCAGGAGACCTCTTTCCTCAGTTTCAAAATATTCACTTCGAATTGCATTAAGCGAAACAGCCAGCAGCTTGTCACAGTCTTTTTACCTTGGCCTTGTCCTAACCAGATTAGGTGTTTAATTTTACCTTGGAATTTTTCTCTTTATTTTAAAATTTTTGTTTGCACTGTGGGAAAAAAAAATCACTTAAGATAATTTATTATAGATTTATACATTTCTCTCTTTTAAAATGCTTTTTGATTGTATGATAAAATTTCCCTCGAGACTTTGAATTTAGATTTTTTTAAAAGATTTTATTTATTCATGAGAGACAGAGAGAGAGAGAGAGAGAGAGAGAGAGAGAGGCAGAGGGAGAAGCAGGCTCCATGCAGGGGACTCCATCCCAGGTTTCCAGGATCACAGTCTGGGCCTAAGAAGGCGGTGCTAAACCGCTGAGCCCCCTGGGGCTGCCCTGAAGTTAGATTTTGAAAACAAAAATCTACATAGAGTAAAAGTGACTCTTTTTCTTCTTTCTTCACCTTTTCAAAGGAAAACAGACCTTTACAGAAGATCTTGTTGGCATTGGCTACTATTTTTTTTTTTTTTTTGGCATTTGGGGCCTTCCCTCTTTGTCTTTAAATATTTAAGAGTTATGCTACAGTAATGCTACAGTAATTTCCTTTTTGTATTCTGAGCTTCCAATATCAAACTAACCTCATTTTCACATAATAAGAGAGGAAAACCTTTTGTTTTCCTGTAGACCATATATTGAAAGGGAAACCGTATACTTAGCTCTAAAACCAGCAAATGACATACAGATGATGTTAGAAAAGCTATTCCAGCATTGTCAATACACGATACACAATTTAATATAAAGGACGAACGACAATTTCATTATTAGGCAGTTTCTCTTACTATTTATTGTAGAAACTTAGTAAAAATGAATTCCACAACAACACTGGATAGCTTAAAACTTAACGCCTGAATTATTATTTTCTTTAAGATTTTATTTATTTATACATGAAAGACACACAGAGAGAGGCAGAGAAGCAGGCAGAGGGAGAAGCAGGCTCCCTGCCAGGAGCCCTGTGCAGGACTCGATCCCAGGACCCTGGGGTCACGCCCTGAACCAAGGAAGCCGGTCAACCACTGGGCCACCCAGGCATCCCTTAACGCCTGAATTATGGCCTTCATATTAAATAGAAATGTAGGCTGTTTAATCTCTGCAAAGAATTTTTTTTTCTTGTCCATGAAACGCCCACGTCTATGGCCAAGTGAGGGGTGTAGGCAATTCATCAGGCCGCCCGCTTCCTTATTATGGCATCGCTCTGGATGGTCATTACCTGGGTGCACTATGTTCCCCCTCCCCGAGGGTGCCCTCTAGCACCCTAGGGCGGAAGGCCACGAAGCGAGGGTCGCCGAGCCCCGCCCCCCACCCCAACCCGTGCGCTGGCCTGGCTGCAGGCTGAGCTCAGCGGCTCAGGAGGAGAGAAGGCGTGGGGAGTTGGGGCACGGTGGGGCGTCGCCGGGGTACCTAGACCCGCACAGCGCGCCGGGTCGGAACCCCCTGGGGCGGGCGGTGGAGCGCCCCCCTCCGGGCCCGCCGATCCCCGCGCCCCGCCCGCCCCAGGGTCGCCATGGCAACGGACGCCGGGTTCGGGACTCCGACTCGCCGAGCCCGCAGCTCCGCGGGAGGCGCCCGGCCCAGCCGCCAGCCCGGGGCTCCGATGGAGAGCGCGGACCGCACGCCCGCGACCGAGGAGTGCCGGAAGATCCTCGAGAACCTCGAGTCGACCATTGAACAGTTCCGGTTCAGCCCCAGGTGACCCGCGCAGCGCCGCCTCCCCCTCCTTCGGCCCGACCCCGCGGCGCCGCGCGCACCTGTGCCCGCGCTCCCGCCCGCGCTCCCCCCCCCCCGCCCCAGGCGCGCTGACTTCATCCCTTGAGTGTGTTCGCGTAATCCGAGGCCGCGGGCTCCGGGGCCCGAGGGCCCGGCGTCAAACCCCGCCACCCGCAACCGGGCGCCTGTGTCCGGCGAGTCCCCTCCAAACTCCTGCCTCAGCGGCGATCCGAGCTGCTTCCCGGTTCGGTTCAGAGCGAGGGTGGCGCGAGTGCACCTGCCTAACGTGCTCAGGAGGGCGCCGCACACAAGGGCAACGGTGCCCCGAGGGGCTTGCCGCTCTCACTGTTATTCCCTGATGCTTTCTTCACAGGTCCTCCCTTTTATTTGTATTTTTTTTTAAGATTTTATTTATTCACGAGACACAGAGAGAGAGAGAGAGACACACACGCAGGCAGAGGGAGCCCGACGTGGGACTCGATCCGGGGTCTTCAGGATCACGCCCTGGGTGGAAGGCGCTGCTAAACCTCTGAGCCACCCGGGCTGCCCGGTTCCCCCTTTTAATAATCTTTGCCTACCCCCCGCCCCCGCCCACATTTTGTCTGTTCGGATAAGGTAGAGCTGATGTGTCTGGGAAAATGTATTTTTCCTTCTGAACCCCCCCCCCCTTTTTTTTAATCAGTCAGTGGCCCGCGCTGGGTTAGCCACTGTGCAAGCACTTGGAGTTCCCCAAGTCACGGGCTTCAAGGTGCCAGGGAGGCTGGCTTCGAGGGGAGACCCATGCCCTCCAGGCTCCACATCGGGCGCCGTGCTGGCCCAGTGGTGGGCACTGACCCGGTGAGCCACGCCACCTGCTTGGGTGCATTCGTTAAAACAGATCAGGGAGGGTAGACACAGGGCCTGGTTTATTGGTGGTTGTGAAAAGCACATATTGGCAGTGGCACATAACAGCGCCGGCGCAGGGTCTAACCTGTTCTGCTTGTTTACTGATAGGAGTGACTTCCTGCCCTGGATTCCTTGGCATAGCCTGGCGTGTAGCTCTCCAGCAAAACACACGGCTGCGCTCAGTGGACGGAATGCCCGCGCCAAGTGCTCAGTTAACGTGTGGTGGAGGACCCGCGGATGCCATTGTTCATTTGTCTTCACCCACGGTTCTTCAGTCCACGGGGACTGTGTCGGTGCTCTGGGAGGAGTGGGGGGGGGGGGGACTGCAGTCCTGGGTTTAGGGCACAGTTTGGTAGCGGGCAAGCAGCAGTCTACAAGCTGACAGAAGCCCGGCTTTTGTGAAGTTTACGTTCTAGTCAGGAAACCAATGATAAGCGAGGCAGGTGTATAACAAATAACTTAGGGGTCAGTGCTAAGGAAGGAAGAGCATGGAGGGAGCAGAGGAGCTTGTGTGTGGAGTAGGGAAGTGGATTGTAATTTTAGACACTGTGGTCAAGGAAAGCTTCTCAGAGATGACTTTGGGGTGAGGATCTGCAGGCTTGAGGGGGAACCTTTCTGATCTGTCAGGGAACAAAGTGTTCCAGCAAAGAGCAGGAAGCCGGAAGGGCTGGGCCTGGGTGTCTAGGGCCCAGCAAGGAGCCCTGTGTGGCTGGGGCAGAGTGAGAAGGGGAGAGCAGTGGGGAGGCCAGAGGTAAGGGGACAGTGCCAGACGGTGGTGTGGGACCTGGGTCATTGTAAGGACTTCCACTTTGACTTTCAGTTAGATGCCAGAAGTGCTTTTTCAACACCACCAAGCAATTCTCCAGTTTTCGGCAGGCACTGACTAGGTGTGCTACAGTTTCATTCAGTTCTGACACTCTGCTACCTACAGACAGCGTCACATGTCACAAGTTAAGGGCTCCATCCCACAAGACCCCTCCCCCCCTTCAGATGCCAATCACAAATCCAGGTTCTTACCTGTGCTTCTGACCATTCAGCCTTAAGTTAGACATTCCCATAACTCCTTCTGTGGATTCAGCTAATTTGCTAGAGCCACTCATAGAACTCAGAAAACTAATTTACTTTGGTTTATTGCAAAGAATAATGGTTACTGGTTTATTACAAAGATTATTAAAGGATACAAATGAATGGCCAGATAAAGAGATGCATAGGGTGAGGTCTTGAAAGGTCTGGAGCACAGAAGCTTCTGTCCCCACAAAATTTGGAGTGTGCCACCCTTCTGGCACCTGGATGTGTTCTTATTCACCAACCCAGAAGCTCCCTGAAGCCTGTAGTTCAGAGATTTTTATGGAGGCTGCATTATATAGACCAAATTGATGAAATCATTGATTTTGTGGTGAATGGGTCTACCTGCAGCCCCTCCAAAGGTGGATATGGGAGTGGGACTGACCCATCCCACCCTCTAACTGGGATTGGTTTCTCTGGCAAACAGCTTCCATCCTTAGGGGCTTTACAAAAGTCCCCCCACTAATATGGACTCTGGTGTGTTTCAAAGGAGTTCGTTATTAATTACAGAAGACCCACGTTTCACCTTTTTTTCCACACTGAGACCATTTCAGGAATTGAGGACAAAAGACCAAGTATAACAAAAGATGAGCCCACTGCTCATGTCATTTAGGAAATTCCAAGAGTCTTGGGAGCTTTGAGGCAGGAGCTGTGGATGAAGAACAAAATATACATTTATTATAAATTATACTATCAAAGATGGGAAGCCATGAGGGGGGATTGGTGCAGGGGAGTGATTTGATATTCATCAGTCTTTCAAGAGGATTACTTTGGCTGCTGTTTTGATAGTAAATTATAATGAAGATAAGGGCAGAAATAGGGAAACCAGTTAGGAGATGGGGGGGGGATAGTTTTCTCTTTACCCTTGTAGGTTCTTGGATGAGACCAACCCTATAATAAAAGATAGATTAATGGGGGAAAAACAAAACAGAAGTTTAATAGCATGTATGCCTCTTGTATTCACAGGAGATACCCAGGAAAACTGAGTAGCTCCCCCAGATGGCTCAAGCCACTACCTTAAATACTATCACCTAAAGACAAAGGATGGGGACTGGTTGGGGGTGAGGGAAAGAGTGGGTTATGGGAAGTTGTCAGGAAAAGCACAGTAAATAGAAGTATGGCTGTTATGCAGATTTAAATTGGTGCCTTCTTTATAATAAGATTCTCCTGTGATTTACTCATCCTTTTCTTCCAGGTATAGGGTTAAAAAACATTTACAAATGGGGATATCCTTTATAAATGTAAATTTCTCTTACAAAGGAGTGACTTCTGTGTTTTCAGAGCTTCTCCTGTGTCTGCAGCTCTCAAAATAATTAGCTCAAAATAATCCTTGTGCCAAAGAGGCATATTTTGGGATGCCAGATTCTGCTACCCTTCAAGTCTGATGTTCAGGCTGGCTGTATCAATTTGGGAGCACTTAGCACCCAGATAGATGTAGGGGTGGACTCTGTGAGATCACCTAGGAAGTGGGAATAACAAAGAGAAGCCTCTTTGAGCCTGGAGCACATCACACTTGGCGTTTTCTTTGAAGAGGAAAAACGGGAAGCAATGTTTTCCATATTTAAAGTTGAATGGTACATGAGAGTGAAAATTTAGCACACCTAATACCATTTTTTTAGCTAATCCATTAATAAACATTTGTTAGGATAGACTATTCTAGGATACAGTGAGAAATGTCATTGCATTCTATTAATAAATGTTCCTGGGCCTTTTATCCTATACTAAATTTACCTGTTAATTTTGTATCTAGTTTATTCAAAAAACATAATCGTCATCTTTCCAAGACTGTATTTTATGCACAACAACCAAGCCATTATTCAGAAATCAAATTACTGAGACTATAAATAAGGCCTGTGTAGGAACCACTTAGCTAATTTGTTGTGATGTGGGTTTCTATTCTAGGCAAGAAGGTTGCCATTTAAAATTAAACACATTTGGAATTTGACGGGAAACTCAGGAATGAACCATCATATTTCACTTAGATTCTGAATGAGCCAGATCTTTCTGAGTCAGTTTTACAAAAATTTAAGACGCAAGGGACCTTAGAGCCATGAGCCTGTTCTCACTAGGGATGGAGAATTGGTATCTGTCCCTTCAGGCTTATGATTTTAGAAGAGTTCTTTCCTCTAGTCAGGCCCCCGTTTCTACATCTTTGAAACAAGAAAGTCAGTATCTCTCTTATGAAATTATTGGAAGACCTGAAAGGAAAATGTGTGTGTTAGTGCATATATCTTAACAAACCATACAGAACAAGTTAAGCACTCAAATAGTGCTTAATATATTTTTTGACACTATGTAGGAGGTTATCTATAAATTTTTGGACTTGATTTTAAAGCATTGTATTATAGTACTATAATATTATGGCACCAGAAGGAATAATTGAAAACATTATTCCAAGTTTTTAAATCATATCCTGAAAATATATGTATTTGGGGTTGGATTTTTTTTTTTTACCCTTTTCACTTACTTTTTCCAGCTTTTTTGAGATGACATTGACATGCAACATAATATAGTCATAACTACCCACATTCCATAAACCTACTACCCACAATAGATTATTTGTTTAAAATGGAAAAGAAAGAACATACATGTTCAAGCTTAATAAAAAATGAAATTGAATAGTTAAAAGGGGCTGCTTGGCACCAGGGAGGGTAAAGGATTGCATTTCTAGACAGGATAAAGCACTGAGGTCTGTTAAATGTGTGACTGTGTAGAATATAAAAAAAAAAAAAACAGATTAAGTGACTGTATTTATTATGTTGATGTAACACTCAGGATCTAGACAGGAGGCAGAAATCTTACCAGTATTTGAATAGGGGAATATTTCCTGTTCCTTTTTAAATATTAAGAAGTATTTTTTTATTAAGTATTTTTTTAAAAAAAAGTCTTTTTAACTAGTAAAAGGCAATAAAGGGAGTAAAAGAAGACTAAGCATTCTTACAACGGTATACGCAAGAAAGGAAAAACTTAGAAGACCCTCACTCCCACCCACCCCCATCTAAGATGGAGATTGAGACCTCTTGGGAGAGGAC